ACACACACACGCTCCCCTCCAATCCACACACACACACACACACACACACACACACACACACACACACACACGCGTGCTCCCCTCCAATCCTGTGGCCTAGATCATTCACTGGAGAAGACCACAGCAGTCACTCCAGGCTGCCCATATGCTGGGGCAAACCCAGGCTGCCAGGTGGAGGAAGCCCAGGTGAGTGGGAGGACCCCCCCCCCCCCCCCCCGCCCCACCTCTAGCCCAACCATGATCTCATCATTCACATCCCAGCCCCCCAAAGCTACAGAAAGTCTCAGCCAATGGGAAGGTGGGAAATATTAAAAGCCCTCCCCCCACCTTTGCCAGGGAAAGAGCTGCAGTCAGGGAGGACTTCCTGGTAGAGGAGGCCCTGACTGAGCAAACTCAACCCTCATCCTGGAGGCACGGAGATGGCTACAATGGCACCCCACCACTCCTGCCTCTCCCTCACACACACACACACAAACTACAAAGCCCCACTTCCCCGGTGGAACAGATGTTTCACTGGAGGAGGCCCCCTTCCACTCCGCAAGCGCGGCCGCCATAGCCCTGGAAGGGAAACTGAGGCAGGAAGGGCCGGGACACTGGGGTGGGGGGGGGGAGGTGCCTTGGGGGCCGGGGGCCCAGGGATCCTCTCTTAGGCCACAGCAGGTGGGGAGGCCAGGGACCAGGCCTTAATCTTCTCTCGATCCCCTCTACTGGTCAGCCCAGCCCTGGCTAAGAGGAGGTTCCAGACCGGGGGGGGGGGGGGGGCCGAAGGGGGGGGAATGGAGCGCAGCCCGCGGCCGGGCAGGGGAAGGACCGGACCACCGGGACCCCAGAGCCCGCCCCTGGCCCCCCTAAACCCCCCACCCCACCCCGGCGAGGCCAGGGGGTCCAGTCTCTCACCGACCTGCGTGCGGCGCGGAGGAGGAGGCGGCTCCAGCGGACGGATAGGAGGACTGGGCGGAATGTGAGGCCTCGGGCCCAGGCCCCAGACAGACCCCGCCCCGACGGGCCCCGCCCCGGCCGGACCCCGCCCCGACGGACCCAGGCCCGGCCCAGCCCGCGGTGGGCGGACGCTCTACCCGGCAGACGCGCAGCTCTCTGTCTGCCGATCTCGCCCTCCCGCCCCGCGAAGGGGCACCAGGACCCCCAGGGCCGCCCCGACACCCCCGGCCGAGGCAGTCTGGGAACTCCGCCCTGAGAAGGCCAAGGGAGGCCGCAGCTGGCGGCCCGAGCAGAGCGAAGGAGGCTGGTGGGCACGGCGGCCTCTTGGGGGGGGGTGCCTCTCCCACCCCCTAGCTGGAGCGTTCTCGGCCAACGACCCTGCTGCCTCAGTGGGCCCGGCCCTCACCCCTCCCTGCGCAAGGGTGGGGGCAGGAGGACCGGGAGAAGCCACTGGGTGGGGTGGGGCTCCCAGGCGACCCACCCCCCAACAACCCGGGGAGAGCCTGGCCTGGGCTTTGCCCGGGGGGCTTCAATGGAAGGGTCACACGCCCCCATTCGTGTGCCCCCGGGACTTGGATTCCTGTGCCCTGTGGGGTGGCTCGATGGAAGGGCCACCCCCAGATCCCTGTGCCCCGGAGGTCCAGAGGGGCTGGCCACCGCCTGCCTTCTGGCCTCTGCCCCCTAGTGCCAAGCAGAACCAGGTTGCTCCCTCCTGGGCGGCTTCCATGCTGACTCCACTCAGACCAAGTCATTCCACCTCTGGGAAGGTTGTAAACCGAGGCGGCGGGAAGAGTCTGGACTTGGAGTCAGAGGGCCTGGGTTCAAAGAGCCGCCCTGCCTGCCTCCTCCTGCCAGTATGCACGCTACGTGGCATACAGTAGGCGCTCAATACGTGTTTATTGACTGCTGGATGGGTGAGTCAGCTCCATGCCCCCCAAGTGGTTTGTGCTAGGGGAGGCTATTTGGGAGGCAGCTGGTGGGGAAGGCCCCACCACAGAGGAGATACAGGCGTCTTCCTCTTCCCCAGGTCCTGTGCCTGACACTAGCTTTGGGTACGACACTTCTCCACTGTGAACCTCAGTTTCTTCATCTCTGAAATGGGGTGATACTTGCAATGTCTCCCTCCCTCCCAAGCTATTCTGGGGAGAAAGGCTTTAAAAACCTTTATAGAGGAGTAGCTGGAGTGCCAGGCCCGGAGTCAGGAAGACTCATCTTCCTGAGTTCCAGTCTGGCCCCAGACACTGGCTGAGTGACCTTGGGTAAGTCACTTACCCTCCATTTGCCTCAGTTTCCTCAGCTGTAAAGTGGGGGCAATGACAGCCCCTCCTTCCTCCCAGGGTCGTTGTGAGGATCAAATGAGATAACAATTATAAAGCAGGCGCCTGATGAGAGAGCTTCTCCCTCTCCTCCTATGAGCATTGAGGTGCCCTGAAAAGGGCAGCTCCCAAAGGGGAGGATGTCCGGGCTCGGCGCCCCAGGCCCCACCGCAGGACCCCGCCTCTGACCTGCCAGGAGCCCCTGCATCCCCCCCTCCCCAAGCTCTCCAGCGTTGGAGCCGCCAGCGCCACCTGGCAGGGAGATGAGGCCAAAGTCAGTGGCGGAGGCAGGGCGGGGATCTCTCCGGAGCCTGGTCAGGCCTGGCCCCTCCTGTCCCAGCGCCACCCATGCTCCCGCACCTCTTCCCAGGGGCACAGGTGCCCTCCTGCCACCCAGGGTTGTCCTCATGGACCAGTCTGGACTCATTATGCTTCCCGGGGAGTTTTGTGGCCCAGGCCCCAGAGCAGATATTGGGAAATGCTTTCTGAATGCCCGCCTGCCCCCATCACTTCTCCACACAGTCCCACAAACATGACAAGGGACGCTTGGTGCAGTCAGTGGGTTTATTTGGGAGTGGGGGTGCTTCGATGTGTTCCACTCAGGACAGGACAGAAAAGGGGACGGTGTCGTTGGGGTTTAATCCTTCATCTTGTGGGTTGAGGCCCAGGCCTAATGCAGTCGGGCTTGGGACCAGGAGAGCTGTGGCTTCCTGGGCCAGGAGCTGGGGGGGATGAGAGATTTCAGCCACATGACCCAAGCCTGGCCACAGCCAGAGCCTGGGGGCCTCAGGTGCCTGGGGGGCAACTGGGGCCACCCTAGTTCTTCCTGGCCCAGCCTCACTCCGGCCTCCCCAATCCCTCCCACCCCCTAGGAGCAGGAGCACAGAGAGGAGGGGACAGAATTCCCATTTGTAGCCGCTCCGTTACAGCCGCCGTTGTTAGACCAGCCGCTTTGGACCTGGTCTCACAGCAGGGGCTGGGCAGCCAGGCCCTTGCAGGGAGAACTGGGATGAGAAGGAGAAGGAGGCAGGGAAGGGGTTGCTGCTGGGGCCTCCAGGCTAGCCGGGGCAGTTGCCCCACAGCCTGTATCCAGGACAGGGAGGAGGCCGGCCTGCCTCGGTCAGCTTCCAGTGTCAAAGGCCCGATGCGGGCAAACACAAGCAGGTGCCCAGGGGCAGGCGGGCAGGCGGAGCCAGGGTCTTCCTTCTCCGCCCACTAACCAGTTTCTTGGCCTCGAAGGCATCTCTGTCATCCCGCAGCCTTCTGTTCAGGTCCCTGGTGGGATCAGTAGAGGGGAGAGAACAGGGGGGCATCAGCGGAAGGGGGCACAGTGACCTCAGAGAGTGAGCAAAGTGCTGAAGGATAAAAGAATGTCCTGATGGGGGCTGTTCTGCAGCTAGATATGGGTCAAGGGGGGAATGGGAGCCATTGAGGCTAAAGAGGGAGGGGTGCGAGGAAAACAGAGGTGGAGAGTGTTTCCAAATTTGGGAGATGCCCTGAGCTCGGTCTGAGCGCAGAAGGGGAGGAGGAGGAGCCTGGCCCAGCTTCTGCCCCAAACTCACCTCAGCAGCTCCAGCTGTCGGAGGAGGCTGTGCTTCTCCTTCTGCATGTTCCTGGACACAACAACCACATCCCTGTGGGCCGGGGTGGGGAGATGACTCAGATGTCCCTGACACCCCCCCCAGTGGCCCTGTGACTCATGCCCCTCAAGCCCTGGGGGTCCCCAGACAGCAGGTCATCTCCCGTCTCCCTCACATGCAGAAGCGGAGATGGTTCTCGGCCCCACCTGGCTTCTTTCCAGGGCAAGAAGACAGAGAAAGGCAAAGGGAAACTGAGGCACCAAGCCTCCTGTCCAAGCGGGGGCTGCAGCCCAGGCTCCCCCCACAACCCACAGAGCCAGGGCGGGCAGCCCCCTGCCGCAGCACCTGCGCTTCTGTGCCTTGTCGGTCTGAGTCTCTGCCTGCAGCCGCAGCAGCTGCCCCTGAGCCGCTTCTAGCTGGGCCCGGCTCTGCTCCAGCTGCGTCCGGAGCTCCTCATTGGCCAGCCAGAGCTGGGCGTTCCGCACCTGCATCTCCAGCTGCTCCGAGGTCTGCTGCTGCAGCCGCTGCTCTAGCTGGAAGGAGGCAGGGGGGAGGGAGGAAGGGAGACAGGCCTGGGTGCTCCCTCAGCAGCCCAGTGGCCCAGAGCCCGTGAGGGGACCCGAGGGCCAGAGAAGAAAGGAGGCGGTGTCTCTGCTTATCTGGCACGCGGGGCCTCCCAGCCCCCGTCCTGCCATTGCTGTCCCCATTTTACAGATGGGCAGCCTGAGGCTGACACACCAGGGAGTGTCCGCCTGCCTGCTGGAATCAGGATTTCTGCAGCAGTCCTGGCGATGCCAAGTCCCGCCCTCTTTCCCCTTTAGCACACAGCTTTCAAGAGGCTGCAGCAAGCTAGAAACAGCCAGCTTACTGAGATAGCAAGACATCTGCCCTGAGGCCTGTGCCTCAGCCCAGGTGGATGTAAGGAAGGCCCTGGAGGGCAGAGACAGTCCTGCCTCATCCTAGGACAGTACCCTGCACCAGGAAAACGGGAACAGCTGCGAGTGCCTGTCCTGCTTCACAGAGCCTTCAGGGGGCTGGGCTGGGGGTGAGGAAAGAGCTCCAGTGAGGAGATGCAGGAGGCAGAGGGCAATTGGGCAGGAACAAAAAGGGATGGTTGGTAGAATTCGCTATGGTCCACTGAGACGGAAGGAGACAATGGATGGGGAGCCTAAGCAAGGGACCCCCTGCCTAGACCAGGGGCGGGCCCTAGAGGGGAGACGGACCTTCGGTCACCTGGGCACGTGGTGGAGCAAATGATCATTCCCTGATTTGCCTTAATGATAACTCTGTCCTTCACAATCAGCAAGGGATTTTAATGCCTTCCGCTGTGCGAGGCCCCGTGCTGGGTGCCACAAGGACATACATAAATATAGAGAATCAACATAAAGAAAATAAACACACAGCATATGCTCCAAAGAGGTCCAGACCAGGCAGGAAAGGGCCAGCACATGCATTATTCGCAGCAGCCTTTTTTGTGGTAGCAAATAAGTGGAAACAGGGGGTGCCCACCCCTGCAGGAATGACCACACAACCTCAGGGTGTCATACAGAAACAAATGGTAGACATGAAGAACTCGGAGAAAGTTCCAAAGATGCACCCACACTACACAGAAGTAAAAGCACAATACAGACTACAAAGGCGTGGATGAAAAGAGCCCTCTGAGGAGGCCCTTCTGAGCAGCTCTAATAACCAGTCTCCAGTCCTGGGAAGAGAGGATGATACATGCTCTCCTCTCTGCGGAGGGGGGAGTCTGGGGAGAGGGGCAGGTTGTCTACATTGGCCAATACAGTGGGTCACAGGTTTGTGCTTAAAGATTTCTCTTTGTTGTAAAGGACAGTTCAAGTCTAGGATGGGGGTGGAGGAAGGCTACATCCAGGAATGACTGAAGGAAGGAAGAGGAGGAAGAAGGAGGAGGAAGATGCCAGCAGGGCACTCACCACCTGAATCATGTTTAAACATGATGAAAAGGTGAGAGGAGGAAAGGCACTTGGTTTGGTTCAGATCTACAGGACACAACAGCATGGGAGAAGAGAGGAAGAAGAACATGGAAGAGCTTAGCAGAATGAGCAGGGAGGCTGGATCTGGTTTCCCCAGGCACTTCTCTGTGGGAGGAGGACTGAGAGCAACCAGAGGGTAGGGCTTTCAACCCCACTGCCCACAGAGAAAGAGGAGGGTGATAGAAGGCCAGGATTCCTCCTTGGGGTGTGGGGGACCACGACCCTTGATGACCAGGGAACAGCTAAACTTTTCAATTCTTTTCTGACTCCTTTCTTCTCTGTCAAAGAGAATGTTCCTCAGACTAGACCAGACAGAACATGTCTGTGGTTGTTAGGAACATGGTGATCAGCAAGTAAGGAGAGAATAAGAGAACACCCAGTGCCTTGGATAGATCCAAATGACCAGGCCCAGCTCAAGGCATTGAAAGAGGTGGCCAGTGGGAGGGCTGGGCCTCTTCCTTCCCCCCTCCCATGGAGAATGGGAGAAGTATCACTAGGGGTAGCTAGGTGGCACAGTGGATAGAGCACCAGCCCTGAAGTCAGGAGGCCCTGAGTTCAAATGTGATCTCAGACCAAACACTTGACACTTAATACCTACATGACCCTGGGCAAGTCACTTAACCCCAATTGCCTAAAAAAAATTAAAATTTAAAAAATTAAAAAAAAGAAGAAGTATCACTAGACTGGAGAAGAGCAAATATGGTCCTGACATTCAAAAAAGGAAGAAAGAGTGACATCTACAAAGGTCAGGCTGGGGAGCTTGACTTGGAATCCTGGCAAGATGCTAGAGTGTGTTATTAAAAAGGATGGTTAGTGGACATTTCAAAGAGGAAGCAGCAATCACTAAGAGGTACCCAGGATGGCTTCATGGAGGCCGGGCGATGCCAGAATAACCGGGGTCATCCAAATAATAAAGGAAACAATCCTGTTGACAGTCTCCCTAGAGTCCAACAAAGCACGTCACCCTTTCTCACAACACTGGGGGAGAGAGTGGGAAGGATGTGAGGAGACAATGGCACACTTATGTGAATCCCGGAAGTGGGCACGTGGCCAGATCCAAGGAGAAAGCCCTAATGATTGCATGCCATTATAGAAGGTCGTCTCCAGGGGAGGGCACCAGAGAACAAAGGGTGCTTGGCCTGTGCTTGCATCAGAAGCACACTTGTCTAACCTTCGGAGGAAAACAGGGGCACCCCAGAGGAGGGTAGTCAGGATCCAAAAGCATATTAACAAGAAAGAGCCTTCATCGATCCCCTCGTCCCCCAAGGGCACTGTGGGGTGGGAGAAGATGGCAGAGCATGATGAAACAGTTTTTCTGAAAAAAGAGGGGGGTTGAGTGCAGAGCAAGTCCAATCCAAGTCAACAGAGCCAAGAACATAAATGCCAACTCAGGCCACGTGAAGGGGGCAGAGCTTCTAGGACCAGGGACAGGACGGTCCTCCTGAGTGAGACTCCTCTGGAGGACTATGTCTTGTCAATGTCAAAGGACATTGATGTGCTACAGAGGAGGTAACCAGGATGGGGAAGGGCCTAGATCCTGACTCACAAGATGGGTTAAGGGAACTGAGCGTGGTCAGCTGGAGAAGACTCAGGGTAGACACAATAGCCCCACTTGTCGCCCTCTACACTGTCTGTGTCCCCAGTTTACAGGACTGCTCAGCATCCCTGCCCTGGTTTACCACCTCTGCACCTTTGCCCAGACAATGGCCTTCTCTCCACATGCTAGACTCTGGCTAGGCCCAGTTCAGGTACCCCCTCTTCCAGCAGTGAGAGCCCACGCCCAGAGCTCTGTTTGGGTCTCTGCCCTAGGCTCTGCCCAGTGGGCCAGGTATTAGTTAGGCCTCTGTCCCCCTCCCCTGCCATGCCCCCTACAGGCCATGAACAAAATGGGTCCCCTGGACAGTGGGAGAGTGATACTTGGAACTTTGTATCACTCCCGGCTTTGGTCTTTGATACTTTGCACCTCTGGCTCTGCCTTCCCAGGGAGGCCTGCCCCAGAGCTCTGGAGGCAGGGACTGAGGTGGGTCTGACTGAGCATAGGCCTCCTGATTCTTCCTGCCCCCCCCCCCACTCTCTCACTATCACAAAAAGGAAAGAACATCTGGAGTCAGAAGGCCTGGGTTCAAGCCCAGGCTACAGTATTCAGCAGTGGGTTACACTGGGCCAGTCCCCTTAGCTCTCTAAACCTCAGTTTCCTCCTCTGCAAAGTGGGGATAACAGCCCATGCATAATCCACCTCATTGGTGGCTATTATGAAGAAGCATCTTGGAAAACCTCCAGGGCTACAGATAAGGGGGAGCTGGTCTCCTTGAGCCTAGCATGGTCTTGGAGGAGGGGGTGCCTGAGCTGAGCCGGCCGAGGGAAGGCTCGTCTGGCCCCGGTGTGGAAGGTGGGGCGGCTTGGCCCGTTTAGGTGGAGGCCACGCGGGAGGGGAAGTGAGCAGTAGCAGCAGTGACAGGAGCAGACCAAGCCACAGACTGAAAGGGGGGCTGAGGAAAAGGAGGCCGCACCCGAGGGGGACATTACCCTGTCTTTGTCATGGCCTTTCAGCACAAATGCATTTTCCTTTGGAATCTTCCAAGGGAACGCTGTCTAACTTTGCTGTGGTGGGGAGGGAGTGGGCAGGGCAAGAACGCTAGGGCTCCACTAAAGGCCAGAGGAGGTAGAGGGGGTCACAGGGCGACCTGGAGGGTACAGATGGACATGTTCATGGCGGGGGGGAGATGCTCCACCTGCAGCTAGAAGCCCACGTGAGGGGGCTTCTGGGGAGATGTGCTGGTCCCTGGTACAAGGCCACGACAGGGAGCCTTACGAGCCCCGGGCAGGTCCCCCTGCCCCGCAGCCACCCACATCTCCAGCCCCATCACCTCGCTCTGCCGCCGGCTGGCCTGATCAAGCTCTTGGTCCCTATTCTGCAGTTCTTGCAGGATGTGACTGACCCGGTCTTGACGGGAGGAGTCCTGCGGGGGCAGAGGTAAATGCCACAACCCCTCAAAGCCAGCCCAGGCTGGGGCCTATTTCCCAAAGAAGGAGTTAACCCCTCCCTCCATCTTTCAGTCATCCTGGCCGGCTCCAGGGAAGAGTCCCTGATGTGTGTGAGGTGGTGGGTTCCCCTTTGGTGGCGCTAGCCTGCCCCTGTACCTTCCGAGCAGAAGGCTCGCGGGGGAGGGGGAAGCGGGAAGCGCTGTCGAACATCTCCAGACCTGGTTCTGCAGCCGCTCTCGTTCGGCGCAGATCTGCTGCTCCATTTCCTCATATAGACACCGAACTTCCTTCTCGTGGTCACTCTCTCTCCTGCGGGAGGGTCCTGGGTCAGGCCACTTAACCCCAGCAGCTCATTAGACCCCACCGCCTGACCTACTGGCCTTGGTCACATCCAGAGGCCTCAGCCCAGTGTCCCTTTGTGTGTGCTCAGCCCTGAGGGCTCCTGGAGCTCATCCCCCACACCCCACGCCCATGTACCCGGCCACCCAGCCCCACCTCTCACCTCCACAGGGCCTGCTCCACCATCTCCCTGGCCCGCACTGCCTCCCCCAGGCAGGAGGACACCTGTACCAGTACCTCCTCAAAGCTGCCCAGGAGCTCTGGGTGCTCTCGCCGCAGCTGGGCCCACAGGGCCCGCACCTTATACTGCCTGTAGAAATGAGGGGCAGGGGTCATGGAGAATCCCCTCCCAGGGCTCCCAGACATTCCCCCTCCCTGCCTCAGGAAGAGGGCCTAGGATTTAGGGCTAGAAACCCTGCAGGTGAAGCACCCTGTTTATGCCCAGGCAGGGCTGGACAGGGCTCTCATCCAGCCCAGCCCCTCCCCCAGAAGGTACTTCACAGGCACGAAGTGACCCTAGGACCAAAGAGCCTGCCCAGCATCCAAGCGGCCAGAGGCATGGCCTTCCAGAGCAGTCCCTGCCCCTTCCCCCAGCACCCCAGCTTGTCTGCTCTGGGAGGTCTTTGTGCCGTCCTGTCTAAATGGACCCCTGGCCGGCACCCTCTCCTTGCTCAGGCATCAGGGGCCAACCGAGGAAGGCTGGCTCCCCTCATCCACCAGGCAGGGCTGTGGATAAATGAAGTGTTGGTGGGTGAATGGTTTGGGGCTCAGCCCTGGGATTTTCTTCGAGCACCACCCGGGGGGAAGGCTTGGGTCGGGCACATGGGCAGGAGGATGCATCAGACAAAGGCTTGGCACCTGGAGCTCCCTAACTCTGAGAGCCCCTCTTTGCCTGGAGCAGCCACTCCCCGGGTCTCCAGCCCTTCCTCCATTCTGTTCCCTCTTCTGGACATCATCTCAGGTGTCTGCAGCCTCCCTAAGAGGCCACACCCAGCCCTTTGTGGGCACAATCAGCAGAACAGAGAGGGACCCTCCCCTCCCCAGCCCTGGAGGGTGCCCCCCCAAAAGCCACCTAGAATCACCTCTGCTCTACGTGCCCTCCTCCCATCCCTGCCACCCTGCTGACTTCTGCTGAGCTTCGGGGCCACTAAGACACCCAGATCATTGTTACAGGCTAAACCACACTCTTTAACCAAGTCTCATCTCACATTTGTGGAAGTGATCTAGTGACGGGAAGGGCATCTTTTTCTTTCGGCTCAATACTCTGGTTTGCCAAGATCATTCTAGACCCTGTCACCCACCTGGTCACCTCTCCTGCCCAGCTTTCTTTTATATGCCAATTTGGTAAGCAGGACACCCCAGCCTTCACCCAAGGCACACAGCTCAGGGCCAAGCCCAGATCCCTAGGGCACTCCACTGAAGACGTCTTTCATAAATGTCATCAGCAGACTGACTCTTTCTGGAGGCTGGTCACTCAGACAAACCCGGAAGCTGTCAAGCAGCCTCACCCAGCCCACATCTCTCTGCCTAGAGCCTTCACCTCCATCACGTCATCGAGCCAACCTCCTGTCCTGACTCCATGTCCCCATAGGAGAAACTGAGGCCAAGGCAGGGCTCTGGGCCCTGCTGCCTGTGCATGCGTGTATGTGCACACGTGTATGCGAGCTTGCATGGCAGCCTATGCATGGTGCTTTCTGGGTGCTTGCAATTTGGGCCTAAGGTCTGGCTGGCCTGTATGAAGGAAAAGTTGTGGAAAATCATTCCTGAGCGCTTTTTTTTTTTTTTTTGAGACAATTGGGCTTAAGTGACTTGCCCAGAGTCACACAGCTAGTGAGTGTCATGTGTCTGAGGGCGGATTTGAACTCAGGTCCTCCCAACCCCAGGGCCGGTGCTCTATCCACCGCACCAGCTTGCTGCCCCCTCCCAAGCACTTCTGCAGAAACCACAGACGTTGCTTGAGTGAGCAAGCGCGCTAACGTGTGCATGCATGTGCATGCACACGGAGTGGAAGTGAACTCTCTTGGAGCCTGGACCTGTGGAGAGCGCATGGGCACAGCCCCATGGCCACGGGGGGGGCACCCTGACCACAGCACTCAGCTCCAACCACATGCCCCACACGCACGCCCCATACGTGCACCCACTTACATGCCAGGCACACACAGACACAGGCAGGAAGAGAACCAGTCCCTCCCCATCCGCAGACTCACTCCCCCAGGATATGGGCGGCCCCCAGCTGCTCCATGGCGGCCCAGAAACGGTCTTCCTCTGCCGCAGCTTCTTCCTCCTCGGACGCTCTGGGCCCTGAACCGTCGTCAGGCCAGCCAGACTCAAAGGTCTCCTCCTCAGGCTCCACGGAGGGGGACCCCCCAGGCATGTCCACTCCCACAAATGCTCCTGCAAAGACAGGGTCCAAGGTATCAGCCCAGGGCTGGGTACCCCACTGCTCTCGCTGCCTCCTGCTCCCCAACAAACCCGCCTGCCCAGGCTCCTACTACCGGCTCAGAGGCCACCATTCCCGCTGCCTCCTCACATCCTGCTCCCCCACCCAAGTTTCCTGTTTTCCTGCCCTATCCTCCAGCTAAACTTCTGGGAACAGGAGGAAGTCAGGCCCTTTACCCTGGGGACTGGGTGGATGCCTGAGTCCCCTCCTCAACTTAGTTTTCGGGGTATAGGAGCAGGGCCTCAGCAGTGAGGGACACCAGGCAAGGAGGTGGAGAGTGACTGGTCACCTGAGCTGTGCAGACAGACTGTTTGCTTGTCTCTTTCTCAGAGTCAGGAACTGAGAGACACAATCTCTCCCTCAGGGGCCTCGGGGCTGCCCGAAGCCCAGGCCCTGAGTCAGGTCTGGGATGCTCAGGGCTTCCAGGCTCCCAGTTTACAGCCCATTCTTCACCCCTCATCTGCTTGGCAGGCTCACAGAGACTGAACGAGGGACAGGCTTGCCCTGCTCTGGAGAGGATGCCAGGGGCTGCCCTCCATGTGCCAGGAGTACAACGTGGCTGTCCTCCACACGGATCCCTGGCCATGTGCACACGTGCGTGTGCATGCGCGCTGCACGTACACTTTACTCACCCAAGCCCATGCTGAATTCTCGGGGCGTCAAGAAGCCTGTGTGTGCTTGATCGAGACTCTCAAATACAGATTCTAGCTGCTCTGGGGTCAGCGGGAGCTCATTTTGCAGCCTCTAGAGAGGAGAGGCCAGCACGGTGGGGTAAGAAGGCCAGGAGGGGCTGCAAGGCTTGGGGAGCTGGGCCTGGGGCCAGACTGGGGTCCTAACCCTCACCTGGAGGTCCATTTTGGTGATGAAACCCTTGGCCTCCTTATCACAGAGTAGGAAGAGCTCACGGGCCTTCTCCAGCATTTCCCCGGAATCTGCCATGGTCTCAGTGTCCCCAGCCCCGCCTGAGGGATTGGGAGCCTCCCGGGACAGGTCTCCTTCCTCCTCCTCCTCCTCCTCCTCAGGCCCAGCCCCGGTGGGCTCCCCAGGGCTGGCCATGCTGGGACTCAGCTGTCCCCTGCTGTTCAGATCACAGACACGTCAGTACTGCTCCCCCCACCCCCATGAAACTGTACACACCTTCACTTACACACTCACGACACTCATGATCACACACACTTATCAAAGTCCTAGATGGGACAGGATAGTCTGTTCAAGCCTCACTCTGTTCTTCTCCTCCTCACCTCCCCCTCTCCTTTCTGCCCATCCCAACCCACTTCAAAGTCCACCCACCCCCTGCTCCCAGCCCCCTGGACATTCCCAATTTCCCCCCTCGGAGTTCTTTTGTCCCTGGAGTTGGGGAAACAGTCTGAGGTCCCAGGCCACATTAGAGGCGTCAGATCTGCAAAGGAGGCAGAGACCAGTGGGCCGGGTCAGTCCAGGCCGGCTTCTGGAGCTGGGGGGTTGGGGATGGGCCTTGAACAGGAGCCAGTGAAATTGGAGAAACAGAGACGGGGGAGTGGCAGTCTGAGGAGGCGACGGGGACAAGTGGTTGGGACAGATCCATGAAACAGAGGAGTGGAAATAAGACAGAGAAGGGTCTTGAATGATGAGCTGAGGAGTTTGAATTCTGCCCCTTCTAAGCAATAGAGAGCCTTTGAAGGTTCTTCAATCAGGGACTGATGTGGTGAGAGCTGGGCTTGGCAGTCGTGGGAGGGGAGAGGCTGGAGGCAAGGAGGCCTTCAGAAGGCTCTCACAACTGGCCGGGCAGGAAGCGAAGAATCTCGACCTAAACTGATGGAGTATCGGGGGCAAAGAAGCAAAGTCGGACGACAGTCTGAGAGGAACCCAAGCCTGCTGGCCAGGGTGCCTGGGAGGACCCCCGTGCCCGGTCAGAGGCAGGAAGGAGGAAGATGAGCTGTGCTTGGTCTGGGAAGGCCCCTCCTGCTTCTCCTGCCTCCCGCTTTGGGCTGTGATCTGAACTGGGGAAGAAAGCAGGAGGGGACTGACTCCCAGGCATCAGGAGAGACACCCAGGCCAGCCCGCAGCGGGAGGCAAGCCTGAAAATACGGGAGCAGAGGGAAGCTGGCCGGGGTCTAGGAAGAGACCCAGGAGAAAGGAGGCACCAGGGCCAAGGGCCAAGTGCAGGGCTCAGACGGGGGAGGAGGACAGAGAGGCAACGGGAGCACCCAGACAGCTACGACAACCAGGACCCGACTGCTGCTTGGGAGCAACGTCTGTCTGTGGACTGGCTGTGAACTCTGTGAAGGCACCTGACACACACTCGTCTCCCTTCATCTCTGGTGCCCTCTCAGCAAGAGTGTAGGGCCCTGCGTGCAACAGGGATCAGGAGATATGTAATGGAGGAAGGGAGGAGAGAGGGAGAGAGAGGAGAAAGAGAGAGAGACAGAGAGAGAGGGGGAAGAGAGAAAGAGAG